TCCGCGACGCGGAGGGATCAGTAATTTTTAGTGAATTACTGAGTTTAGGCACGTTAATAACATTTTAATGAAGTTGAATACAGTATATTCATATTTGTCAGTGATTTCATGTCAATTCGGCGAACATAAACGATTAAATTAGGATTAAAAATCGAGAGCCGGCTGCTGTTCGTTACGGTAACCCAACTAGGACACTTGACACAGTGGCTTTTGGCAAAGCACACAAAGAAAACAAAAAAAACCGAGAGAGATGAGTTATTGTTATTACAACGTGACTTCACTATTATTTAACAACTATTTTTATTGGGTTCTTTTATTTGGGGTTAAGTACATTGTCAGAATAAGTGAGAAATGGATTTAACTTCTGTTAGACAGCTATCATACTGAATAAATATTTATGCAAAAATGTATGGCATTAATAATGTATATCTAATTACATTTAAAAATGTATGGCATTAATAATGTATATCTAATTACATTAACTGTGAATGTCTTTCATTTTATTTAAAATGAAATAAAATTACATAAAACATTTTCCATAAAAAAGTTGATTCAAGAACAAATCAGTACTTTTCTTATATGACTATTATTGCTAAATTTGAAAGGTCTTTACCAGCTTTGGAATTATATATATATATATATATATATATATACCACCTTCTGCCATCCCATCTCTACTGACATATGGATCTTAACAAAGATCCGCTATACATTAGTACCAGATATACTGTACACGGACATTTTAGTGAACCAGACCAGCTGTTTCCGCCGGGTCTTCGCTTCCCGGGCATCACGTTGTTTACAAGTGTGTTCAGATGCTAAATGACAAGTGCAAGTGACAATTGTTGTCGTCTTCTCTGTGAACGTTTTTTTCTCCGTTATTTTGCCATTTTCAGATTTAAATTTCGAGCGGAAAGCTAACCAGGAAGTAATAATTACTTAAGCGGAGAACGGAGAAAGTAAACGTTACAGCAGGCATAACAACAGCCGGTGTTTATTTTATTATAATATTCAAGAACAAATCAGTACTTTTCTTATATGACTATTATTGCTAAATTTGAAAGGTCTTTACCAGCTTTGGAATTATATATATATATATAGCACCTTCTGCCATCCCATCTCTATATATAATATCTATCCGTGACATATGGATCTTAACAAAGATCCGCTATACATTAGTACCAGATATACTGTACACGGACATTTTAGTGAACCAGACCAGCTGTTTCCGCCGGGTCTTCGCTTCCCGGGCATCACGTTGTTTACAAGTGTGTTCAGATGCTAAATAAAAGTTTAGCTTGTACTTTTGATACCCCGCCTCTCGGCACCACAACATCCAGTTTACTGTATTTGACATGAGCGATGTCGAACATTGAAAAGTCCTTATAAAATATCTGTTATTAGATCAGTACTTTTCTTATATGACTATTATTGACTTGAACACTGAGAATGTATTTATTAACTTCAGACATTTGAAATATTTGAAATCAGATGAAAACAAACTGTAACGGACCCTGCCGTGTTATCTATGATTACTATGCCTTACTGTACATTCATAATTTCAGCCGGAGGGAGGTGGTAGGCGTTGCGGAGGAGCAGATTGCGAGTGAGGTGCCTGTTCTAAACGAACTATTCCAGCTGTTATAAAGCATTAAATAAAAAGTAAGCAAGGAATACAGAATGTTTCGTTACGTAACTTTGTTGAGAATGTGGCCATGTACATGTAATACATGGGATCATTTGCAGCGACTTGGTCATTGTGGGGAAAAATAACACCCATCCTGATCGTTTCAATGAAGTTGAATACAGAATATTCATATTTGTCAGTGATTTCATGTCAATTCGGCGAACATAAACATCAATGATGATGATTAAATTAGGATTAAAAATCGGGAGAGCCGGCTCGTTCGTTTTTTCCGACTAAACAACATCTATTATTTAGAAGTTGATTTCACATGACTCCAGTGTGGAACCCCACTGCACCCCCTGGTGGATCAATGATCCATTGCAGATGGCTTCACAATAATTAAATGTATTTATCATGGGGGCGGTATCAAGTCTGACTGGGGGCCGGCCGGCCATCACGGAACGTGCATGAACCGATCACGACCCTCGCACTTTAAACTGTCCAAAATAAGACGCTTCATCTGTATGTTGCAACAGGCAACAGTTTCGGTTCATGTTAATTTACAAACTCTTCAACTACAAAATACTTTAACATGTTACGCACCGCCCCCCCCGGTACCGGGCGGATAAACGCGTCATTTGCAGGAAACAACGTCTAAAGAATCTTAATATTTAATAAACTATGAATGTTTTATATCCATGTAACGGGAAGAAACTCAGCTAACTGATCTTTTTAAAAAAAAAATCTCCAAAAAAACCCACAATGCTAACACTCAGCCTCTGAATTAACCACGAGCGAAAAAATGTAACCTAAAACTGCACCTAAACTCACAATAACTCCCTTATTACTTATCCTAGATGCACAGCCAACCCCTCGATTAGCATCTCCTGGAGACACTGAATCTAGGGGTGCCCACCTCAACACTCAGTGATAAACATTTGCGACGCTATAAACGAAAGCGTACATCAGAACATGTGGAGCTAAGTAGCTAGAAAAGCTAACATGGCTTACCTTGGTCAAAACTGGTCTTCAATGGCATTAAAACGATAAAAAAACGATGCTGCAGTTAATCCATAGGTTCATCCAATGTGTCTGTGTCCTCTTTGAAATGATTTCTGATAATCCATAAGCAATAAAACTGCTTTTTCGTTTCCAAATGTCAGAGCGAGAGATCGCTTCACTCTGGTGCAAACCTGCATGCGGGAAGCCCCCACCGTTTGTTTTCACAACGAGTGTGTGTGGGGGCCTCCCCCTTCGATTCGATTGGCTCTAACGGTCAGAAAGAGGTGTCAACCATCCAAATCGACCAAGGGGGGCCAGAGATATGGGAAAAAAAACATTTTCACCCAAATCACCTCAGAGGAGGGGTGGTTTTGGCTAAATCTCTCTAAAAAGGTCAAATGTCACTTGTTTTGCATCAATCTTGATACAGGGTACTTATTATATGTTGTACTTTGGATTTCTAAAGCTTTTAGTCTACTAACCCATCATCCAAGGGTAGTTTTCACTATCTGTAAAAAATAATTTTTGGACGGACACTATAATTTACAGTTTTTTACTATGTAAAATCTGAATTTTCTTTAAAATAAAAAACATCTATATTGATTCTGACACTTCTAGATCCAACTCACAGATGTAACCTTGCTTTGATAAAAGACATTATTCATATAACCCTTTTAGAAGTTAAGTTGTAGTCATTTGTTTTGGGCATGTCATTTTCGAGCCTGAAACATGAAATACAGGCTTGGTGCTTAACAGGTTAATGTACATTTTAATTTAAATATGAAGGAATGTGTGTATATTAACTGTGGGTTTTTCTCTGGAAGTTTTTCCTTGTACGATGTGAGGGTCAAAGGACAGATGATGCCGTTTTTCTCATACTGATATTCCGCTATGCACGCTGGGATTTGGTGTTTATGCGATGTGAAATCCGAAAACATTTAAAAGAAATGAAATAATATGCAATAACGTGCTTTAACCAGTAGGTGTCCCTTTCTATCAGCTGTGCACCGTTATGGCGTAAATACAGCCTATCTACCAATTGGATCAAATATAAAAGTCAGCCGAATTAGTGTTGATACTGCAAGGAGACGTATTGTGTGAAAAGAAATGTAAGATGTTGTTTAATTGCTTATATATTTAAGATCCACGTCAAGTTTTCAGTTTTGGCGGCAGTTCCTGTTTGTCTAGAAGTCTTGTCATCAGGGCTCTATACATAGAGTTAACTACGGCAGATATGTCATATTTAATGCAGCCGAAACGTGTATTACAATGCAGTTATGTGATGACTTTCAAGGAGAAAAGCAAGCACACTCGGAATAATGTATTATTTAATTTTAATTTACATTAAAGTATTTCGTGAGGCCTTCTAACATGTTTTTAAATATAACTACGGTTATAGTTGAAGAGTTTGTAAAATAACATGAACCGAAGCTGTTGCCTGTTGCAATATACAGTCTATGGTTGCTACAGAGGATTGTGGGTAATGTAATGTCTTCGGCCATCCAAAACTCAGAGAAAACTACTTGTTTCTCAGAATTGAAGGGGAAAACTTGACAAAAGCATTGCACACACACTAAAACCTATCAATGTCGTTTAATTAACAAGGATAATCTGGTGTTTTTGAGTTGATGAGTAGTGGAGATATCACTGTCAAATCAATCGACAGTAAGGGGAATACTTACTTCCGGGTGTACAATTCTCCGTTATCCAATGGGAATGGACGCTCACATTGCCTTTAACAGCCTCCGACACAAACGAATGCCGTGCTTCCATGAGCGTCAAATCCCGCCGCAGATGGGAATACATTGCAATCAGTTGAAAGCTATTTGCGTCTGTTTATGAAGCTGAAGGAGCCTCGGAGCGTCCCAACTGCACGCCTCGGGACCCTGACCAAGCGTCGCTCCTGGACGTTTATGGAGTGAGAGTGTGTTGGCTGTCAGTACGCTTGTCCATGTTTGTGATTGGTCGAATGCTCCAAATACCACCCCTTTCATGTGAACGCGCACCTAACTAGAATGGGCAAAGCTGTCTTGAGTTAACGAGTTGATAACCAGCGTTGTAGGACAGTTTAGCGAGAGCGCATTTGTTTTGGATTAGGTAAGCCGGGTAACTCAAACATATCCAAGTTAGGTTGAACCGGCTTCGTAGTACAGGCCTCTGGTCTGCCTAATAGGGTTGCTTTTTTTCAAAGTAGTTGATCTAAAAACTCCAACAGTTCTAATTGACCCTATCAGATAAACCCTGACACCATGTACAGGTGGTGTTTCTCTGTGTGGTATATCAGGAGGACACATCCAATCCATGTTATCATTGTGATTTACCTGACTTCAGGTTCCCTGTTTGTAAAACTCCCTAATAACTAATGACCTACCTGTCGGTTCTGATGGGATTTTTGATAATTCGTCCACCAGATCATTCCGATTAATCTTCTTCAAAACGTATTTGGTCACTTCAATAGTCTTAATGCAGTAGTTCAGAAACATATGGTCCACAGTTTGCGTCCGCAATGCATCCTCTAGTCGACTCTCCGGGATTCCTTTGAATCCTAGGACCTTCTGCTGCAGGTGCCACTTGAATTCTTCAAAGTCCTTTTTCCCCAATTGTTCTAAAGTACTGAAGAGGATCTCTTTCAGTGTCGCCATATTTTCTCCCTGCAGAGATCCAAAAGATAACAACAGAAAATATTATATAATCTTACATCTGAAATAACATGGGTTCATGAAAAAAAATACTTTGTTTTTCAGCAACAATACTGCTTGGTTATTTTAAGGCAAATAAACTACTACTCCAGCTTCAGGTTCAGGTACAGCTTCGGGTTCAGGTTCAGGTCCAGGTTCAGGTCCAGCTTCAGGTTCAGGTCCAGCTTCAGCTTCAGGTCCAGGTCCAGGTTCAGGTCCAGCTTCAGGTCCATGTTCAGGTCCAGGTCCAGCAGAGTGTGTGTCCTCTGGGCTGGAACACAACACAGAGCTTTGAGTGAATAATGAGTGCTGAGCTGTGACATGGAGAAGAGTCATGGACAGTTGGAGATCTCACCTCTGAGCTTTAGTCTGGCTGTCATGTTCCCCACACAGAGAGGGGGGGGCTTCGAACGGCAATGGCCGTGGCTGTCTCCTCCTGATAAGGTTGCCCATATAGGCGGAGCTACTCGTTCCTGACGTCAGAGGACTTTCAAATCTGTATCAGTCTGTATCAGATCCGTTGCAGCCCCGTTTTTAGAGATTTGGGTATGGAGGAAAAGAGAGAGGGTTGTGTTTTCTGACACTTGGTGAGTTCCCTGACACACCGGGGACACATATTCATGTATACAAGACGTACAAAAGTGCATTTTGCATGATAGGTCCCCTTTAATAAATAAACAACAGAGGTCCCATCCCGACTGAGTTCGTATTGTAGCTGGAGACTTCAATCATGCAAGTCTAAAAAATGTGCTTCCCAAATTTGTACAATATACGATGTACCACCAGAGGAAAGAATACATTGGACCGGGTGTATTCTAACCTGAAGCATGCTTACAGAGCGGTAGGTACCACTCCCCCATTTAGGTCTATCTGACCACCTCTTACTGCTTCTCATCCCAGCTTACACCGCCCTCAGAAGTAACACCAAGCTGGTGGTCAAATATATCAGAACCTGGCCCGAGGGGGCACTCTCACAACTGCAAGACAGCTTCGAACACACAGCGTGGGACATATTTGAACAGACAGACTTGGAGGAACACACAGAGGCTGTCTTATCTTACATCAAGTTCTGCACAGGCACTGTAACTGTGGAAAAACGCATTCGGGTCTACCCAAACCAAAAACCATGGATGACAAGAGCGGTGCGGTCTCTCCTGAGTTCCCGTGACACAGCCTTCAGCTCGGGGGACGCAGCCCAGTACAGCATGGCAAGGGCGAACCTGAGGAGAGGCATCAAGGATGCGAAGGAGGAGTACAAGCGAAAAGTGGAGGAGAATCTCACTCATAACAACGCACGGTGCATTTGGCAAGGCCTTCACCAGCTAACCAACTATAAGGGCAAAACATCTGGCACTACTAGAGCTGACGCCCACCTTGCAGAGGAACTAAACAACTTCTTTGCCCACTTTGAGGCTAGCAGACCCCCCCACTTTTCTACTCTGCCCCTGTCCCTGCAAACTACCAGCTCCATACCACCTCCCACTCTCAAAGAACATCAGGTGAAGCTGAGGTCTGTGAATCCTGGAAAAGCCGCAGGACCGGATGGAGTACTCTGCAAAGTACTCAAAGCTTGTGCTGACCAGCTTTCAGGGGTCCTGACCAGGATATTCAACCTGTCCCTGTCACAAGCTAGCATTCCATCCTGTCTGAAGACGGCTACCATCATTCCTGTCCCCAAAAAGACACCAGTCAGAGAGCTCAACGACTACAGGCCCATAGCCCTAACATCGGCGGTGATGAAATGTTTCGAAAGACTGATAGCCGACTACATCAAAGCCAGCCTGCCACCCTCCCTCGACCCTCATCAGTTTGCCTATAGAGCTAACAGATCCACGGATGATGCCATCGCCACGGTCCTTCACACAGCTGTGAGCCACCTAGAAGGCCCAGGCAACTATATAAGGATGCTGTTTGTCGATGTTAGCTCAGCTCTTAACACCATCATACCCGACATACTAGTGGAACAACTGTCAAGCCTAGGTTTCCCCTCCATCATATGAGCCTGGGTAAATCATTTCCTCACAGACCGTCCTCAGACAGTGAAAATAGGCCCTCATTGCTCCTCCACCCGCACCCTCAGCACTGGCTCCCCGCAGGGCTGCGTGCTGAGCCCACTACTCTACACACTCTACACACACGACTGCTCTCCCACCCACCCCTCCAACTCCATTATAAAATGTGCAGATGACACCATCGTGGTCGGCCAAATATATAAGGGAGACGACGAGTCGGCATACAGAGACGAGATCCTGAAGCTGTCTGCGTGGTGTTCAGCTAACAACCTACATCTGAACACAAGCAAAACTAAAGAAATCATCATAGACTTCAGAAAGCACCGTCCAGAACCCGCCCCCCTTCACCTCAACGGAGAGAGAGTGGAGAGGGTCTCCACCTTTAAGTTCCTGGGGGTTCACATTTGGGAGAGCCTCAGCTGGACAGCACACACCACTGCAGCAGTTAAGAAGCCCCAGCAGTGACTACACTCCCTGAGGGTGCTTCGGAGGAACCGACTGAACAAGAAGCTGCTGGTGTCCTTCTACCGGGCGACCATCGAGAGCGTGCTGTCATACTCCATCTCGGGGTGGTATGCAGGATGCTCAGCTGCGGACAAGAAAGCCCTGCAGAGAGTGATCAGGATGGCAGAGACAATCGTCGGCTGCCCCCTGCCCTCTCTGGAACTCATCTCCACCTCCAGCTGCCGCAGCAGAGCTTACAAAATAATAAAGGACAGCTCTCACCCAGGTCACAGACTGTTCTCTCTCCTGCCTTCTGGGAGGAGATACAGGAGCTTCAAGTCACGGACAAACAGATTCAAAAACAGTTTCTACCCCTGGGCCGCCAGGCTGCTTAAAACCCTGTAAGGCCCACTGTTGTAATTTTACAACATTACTTTAAGCTATCCTAAAAAAGTCAGTAAATGGTTTGTTTTTTAAAGACTACATTTACATAGTCAAAAGATCCTTTTGTTCAGCCTCACAATGCTATTGGGTAGTAAATGTGTTTATAGGTCCTGCCCTCTGGCCATACACTCACACAACTTCAGAATCTTCAAACGAGCAACATCTCTTTGTTTTATTGGACTGGATTTGTCAGATTCAAGTAAGTAAAATGCCTCAAGTATTTTTTTTGTGATTATTACAATATCTAGAACATGTACATATTCAGTTTTTGTGGAATACATTCATCAAATGTGATTTTGAGCAGTTTATGTCTTTGTAATATTACAACACTGGGTCAGTGTGGTAGTCAGAATAGCATGAGCACCTGTCATGACCCCGCCCTTCTTATATGTTCACATATGGAAATAAAACACTAATAGAAATATAATGTCTTTGATAATTCACTATAACTAAGTTCTAAATGTGTCCTCTGTTAAGATTTTGAATTAAGACCAGAATTGAATGAATTAATACATTATTTCTGAAAAAATATGTGAAATTATATCTCTAGCAATATTTTAAACTCTACTTGTATCTTATCAGTTAATTAGTTACAACAATTAATTTAATGGTAGGGTAGGTAAGTTTGAGAAACCGGCTCGAGATCGCTAGAATTTGAAAATAACAACCGGAGAAAATCTGCCACTTCCTTACAGAGAGAGGTGGTGAAAAGTTTTCACTGGGTTTTTTATTTTCTACTGAAACAGCAACGAGGAGAGAGAATGAGGACGCTTGATCCGGACAGCACCATGTGGCCTTCAGTGTGTGTGTGTGTGTGTGTGTGTGTGTGTGTGTGTGTGTGTGTGTGTGTGTGTGTGTGTGTGTGTGTGTGTTTGTCTCCGTGTGTCTGTTTCTCTGTGAGTGAGTGAGTGTGTGTGTGTGTATGTGTTTGTGAGTGTGTGTGTGTGTGAGAGTGTGTGTGTGTGTGTGTGTGTGTGTGTGTGTGTGTGTGTGTGTGTGTGTGTGTGTGTGTGTGTGTGTGTGTGTGTGTGTGTCTGTGAGTGAGTGTGTGTGTGTCTGTGAGTGAGTGTGTGTGTGTGTGTGATTGGTGTGTGTATGTGTGTATGTGTGTGTGTGTGTGTCTCCGTGTGTCCGTGTGTCTGTTTCTCTGTGAGTGTGTGTGTGTGTGTGTGTGTGTGTGTGTGTGTGTGTGTGTGTGAGATTGGTGTGTGTATGTGTGTGTGTCTGTGTGTGTGTGTGTGTCTCCGTGTGTCTGTGTGTCTGTTTCTCTGTGAGTGAGTGGGTGAGTGAGTGAGTGAGTGAGTGAGTGTGTGTGTGTGTGTGTGTGTGTGTGTGTGTGAGTTACTTTAAAGAGTCCCTATGAGGGTCCGGAGACTTACAATCATGCAGTGAATTTACGAAACAGTTCTAAATTGAGACGAGATTTTTCATTAACCGCACGTTAAGTTTGACAATGTCAATTCTAAGGGTCTTAATTGGGTCATGAGTTTGCACAGATGTACTATTTTCACTTTAATTAATAAACTAGGGATTGTTTTGAGTCTGCGGGTGTTTTTCTTGTTGATTTTTCTGCATTTGGTACTTTTACATTAAATACTTTAAGGACATGTTGCTCATCATACTTTAGTACATACACACTTGTCAATGTAGGATTGTTCATGCATTCTTCCAGCGTGTTATTAGGTTATGGCTAGAAAGGATCCGTCTTGTGTAAATATGTGGTCACGTTCTCGTTGTAATTCTAGTTGTAATCGGAGCAGCTCGGGAAGCGCTCGGAAAGATTGATCGTGCTTTTTACAGAACTATGGCTTCCACAGACGATATTTTATTATGGATTTGTTGTCAAAGCTCTTCAGATATTCATTGCTATCGGGATGTTAAGAGCATTCCATGGAATATAACAACAAGTGTATCTCGAGCCGGATTCTCAAACTTACCTACCCCACCTTTAACATTAACTTTTTAAACTTTTAACTTTAACTTAAATGCATTCACTACAGGACCTCCGAACTTTTAACATTCCTGACGTCTGTGCAATTTTGTACAACTCTCTGAGCATGATCAGTGCCTCAAAAACTGGCTTTACCTGCAGGGAAATAAGAATGCAAGAACAGCAGACAGAGCCAACTGTGCTCGGACCCAGCCAGCACTGGAAGTCAGAATCAAACATCCACAAACATTTAAATTGAGAATGCAGTTTGGATGTATAGGAACATATTTGTTGAGGCTGATTTTGTATAAACCTTCAAATGTAATATATTCTCTGAATTGCT